GGCCAGATACAGAAAGTTCTTAAGTCACAGGGCACTGGGTGGAGTGCTTATGAAGCTCTTGCCTAAGCAATGAGAAATAATTCACACCAGACTGAGCAGTGTGGCAAACCTGTAGCCTTGGGGCCACACATGGGCCTCCAGCTCCCCAGGTGAGGCCCCTCGACTGGACCCAAACCTCACAGAACTCCTTTATTGAAAGGATTTGTTCTGGCCAGGCGCAGTGGCTCACACCTGTAATCTTAGCAGTCTGGGAGGCCGAGATGGGAGGATCGCTTTGGGAGGAGTGGTCACTAAAAGCTTAGTGGTCCTGAAGGAAACATCTCTTATCTCTCCAAGTCCCAGTGTCCCACGTGGAGATGGCACTGGGCTACGTCCAGGGCAAGCCCAAGGCGTTTATCCCTGTGTCCTCATGTCCCACCTGGTGATTATGCCGTCCTAACCCTTTTGAGTTTTTTCTCACACTTAAAAGAACCCAGTTGTGGTGTTGGATCACAGAAGTTGCTCAGAGAATCTGTTCTTTCTTTTTCTTTTCGAGACTGAGTCTCACTCTGTTGCCTGGGCTAGAGTGCTGTGGCGTCAGCCTACCTCACAGCAACCTCAAACTCTTGGCTTCATGCAATCCTCCTGCCTCAGCCTCCCGGGTAGCTGGGACTACAGGCATTCGCCACCATGCCCGGCTAATTTTTTCTATTTTTAGGAGAGACAAGGTCTTGCTCTTGCCCTAGCTGGTCTTGAACTCCTGACATGAAGTGATCCTCCTGCCTTGGCCTCCCAGAGTGCCAAGATTACAGGCGTGAGGCGCCGTGCCTGGCCTTGCTCAGAGAATCTGGACCATGTTCACAGTTTGGTGCTTTTCTCGATATGCTGGTGCTGCAGGCTGGCTCTACCACACACACCACCGGCCAGGTGTCTGGGCTCAAACATGTGGGTGAACTTACGCTTTTAAGTGATTAATTTCTTCATCACTTTTCTGCATTACATGCTTTGAAACGCACACGTTCTTTGGGTATGGTTTAATGATACTCTACAGGTTTTTTCATGCCTGTGTTTAAGTCCCCAACAAAGACACAGAATGTGTGTGTCTCCCTAGAAATTTTCTTGTGTCCTTTGGCATTTCCTGAACCCCCTGGTAGGGAGGGAAATGCCTCTTTGGTGTGGGCAGGTGAGGAGGCTCCTGTGTCCGCAGGCTGCCTCCCCCTCCCTCCACCCGCCCCGGCCCGACACACTCACCTGGGCAGTTAAACAGCCAGGAGTGACTCGGTCCCCACTGCCATTCAGCTGGACCATGATGTGCCAACTGGAGCCCTCACTGCCCTGCCACTGCCCCCTTCAAGTGGAGTCTGCTAATGGGAAAAACCCCAAACTGTAAAATAGCTTACGGAGGTTCGTCCTGAGCTGAGGTGTGTGACCAGGGCCGGAGAAGCCACATCCAGATGCCCTGAGCAAGTGGTCCTGAGGCTGCCAGGTCACAGTTTGGCTTTATACATTGTAGGGAGGCAGGAACTACGTGCAAAATCATAAATCAATACAGGGAAGGCGCACATCGATTTGGCCGGAAAAGGCATGACATCTTGAAGCGGGGGCTTACGGGTTATAGGTGGGTTCAGAGATTCTTTGATTCATAATTGGTTAAAGAAATAAAGCTTTGTCTAAAAGGCTGGAGTGTTTTAAGTTAAGAAAGTCTGTTGATCAGAGACAAGCCACAATGTACGGACTCAAGTGATCTGTTGAGCAAATCGATAGCCTGTGGGTGATTTAACCCTTGCCCTGCATGGCTTGGGGCCCGTAGTATTCCATTGTCACAGAGTCTCTTCTGTTTTAACAATGCTGCAGTCAATTGTTGTTTCTAACTCCAAAGGGAGGGGGTGTAATGGGGCGTGTCTGACCTCCCTTCCCTTCATGGCCAAGAACTCAATTTTAAGGTTTTTCTGGGGCCCCTGTGGCCAATAGGGGCTTTGTTCTGTCAGTGGCAGGGCTTAGGATTTTATTTTGGTTCACAAGCCACAGGTGGTCCCTGGGCCATCACGACACCCACCTTCCTCCCATCCCTTCTCTCTCGAGAGGGTCTCATGGCCCCACCTGGGTGGGAGGAGGGGGAGGGGTCAGCGCTCCTGGTCACCCCAGGCCACAGAAGCAGCGAGGGCTGCCCAGGGCTCTCTGGCCAGGGACAGAGGATGCTGAGAAGCGAGGCCGTGGCGGCTGGCACCACCCCTGCTGTGTCCAGGGTCCCCGACCCACCTGCTGAGCAATCATCACATGCCATCGTGGTTTCAACTTGGACGGATGGGAGCATGTAGTGAAGTCATCACAGAGAAACTGAGGCAGAGGACAGGCTGGTGAGAGCGGGGACAGCCAGAAGCCCGGATGCTGGACAGGGCCAAGAAAGGACGGGGACTGTCCCAGGCCGAGCCTTGCGGGCTGAGGGGAGAATGTACATTCCTCCTACCCCCAGGAGGTTTCACACCAGGGGGTCTCAGGTTCCCTCTGCAGTAAAGATTGTGAGAGGCAGGAGCAGGAGCCCAGGCTGCTTCCGAACCTCCCCTGGGATGGCGGGGTTTGCCCCCGAGACACGCAGGCTGGGCCCCGCCCATCACGAGCACAGGTCCTGGCACTCTGGTTTGGGGACACCAGGACCCCAGCCCAGCCTCCTCACACAGAGCACACTTCGTCCTAATGACCCACCCACCACCAGCCACCCTGGGGCCGTCCATGCCCTTCTCTGGGGACCCACCTTCTGGCTCTGCACCCCTGCAGGGTCCCCCTTGAGGGTGAGGCTGTTGAGGGTCACATCCAGGAAGGGAAAAGACTCTAGGTGCTGTGGCGGTGGCTGGGGGACCTCGAGCAGCCACCACGAGCAGCCAGCCCACCATGCACCACATGGTGGGCACAGCCTCCAGCCTCCGGGCAGTGGGACGCAAGGACAGGAGGACCCCAACGCCTGCCCCGAGCTCCATGCAAACACCTCTCGTGGGGTCTTCAATCCCCCCGCTCCCTGCAGCCTGGTCCCAGAAATGTGGAAATACTCAGGTGTTGGGGCCCAGGGCCCAGGGCCCAGGCCATAACGTACGGGTGACAGTTCCTTCAAGTTCTGCTCCCAACACTGGAGAGGACCCGGCCTGGGTAGGGAAGTCCAGCTGTCCTGGGCCTGGGCTGGGCACACGGCATAGACCTGCGAGACGCCGCCACAAAATGGCAGCTGGTGTCTTCACTGGTGTTCACAGCCCTCTGGGGCCCTGTCTTCTCCCACGGCCCACAGGGCGGGAGGCCACCCACCACGGCTGCAGGATGTCAGGGCTGGGGCCGGCTCAGGGTTCCAAGCTGGAGCCTGCTGTTACCGGCTCTGGGCCGGCTGCAGATGGTTGCGCATCCTGCGCCTCAACTCCCCCTGCGGACGGACAGGCCTGGAGGCACCACGTGGTTCTGGCCCCCTGTGAACCCTGGTCTGCCCTCCTCCCTGGACAAAAGGCAGGTCAGCGGGAGCCCAGACACTGACAGGGACCACCACCTCGGGGGTTCACGTTTGCAGAGCCTGGAGGGCTTCTCACCAATCACTGGCATCCCCCGGGACTGGAGAGAGACCCTGTGCGCCCCACACACCCCACAGCCTGAGTCACTGCAGATCTGTGTCCCCGTGTCCCGCTGGGCTGCCGCCACCGGGCCAAACAGCCCTGTTCACGGTTGGGGCCCCAGGAGAACGCGCCCCAAGCACTCCAGGAGTCGCAGAGCAGCCCCGTCCGAGGCCATCGCAGCCCAGCCCCGTCCTGCACTGCCCGGGCCTGTCTGCTGGGAGGACCCAGGGGCAGAACGCAGCGGCAGCACCCCCGGCCCAGCACACAGCTGCAGTCAGAGCCGGCCTGGGCGAGGCCCGGCCAGGGCGCCGAGCCTCCCTGCGTCCCGGCCAGCGCGTCCAGACGGGGAGCTCGCCCGCTGCAGACCAGCCCACCCAAGGCCCTCTCCTGCCAGCTGTCTGCTTTTGAACTTGGGGAAATGGGAGGCAGATTCCTGCGGTCGGAACAGCATCTGCTGTGGTGGGGGTGGGGACGGGGACGCGGGGTCTTCGCTGTGGACGGGACCGGGGCCAGCCTCACCGCGGGCCTGGCGGGGTGCTGCTCCCTGGGCCAGGCCGAGCTCCCTGTCCCCGGAGCCGCCCCCACCCCAGACGGGGCTCCCTGGAAGAGCCATGGCAGGAAGGGCCCGGCCTGGCCAGGTGGCCGAGCTGACTGAACTCCGGGCAGCCGCCCGGCCTGGAGCAGAGGCGGCCCCTCCTTTGCTCCGCGGGTCAGCCAGAGGCCTTGAGGCAGCCGCCCCGTCCCGCCCGCCAGGCGGGGCCAGTTCCCAGCCCTGCCGGCAGCCCAGCATGCCTGGAATGTTCTCCTCGTCCTCCCAGGTCAGCTCCGAGCGGGCAGCGTGGGCGGCTGGGGGCCACTGGCGGCAGGTAGCGCAGGGCGTGGCGCACAGCGTGAAAGGGAAATGCTCCCGCTCAGGGCGTGCCCTGCGCACAGGTAGCACAGGTGCCCAGGGACGCACCTGCACAGTGACAATGTCAGGTGTTGGCTGCTGGCTACAACCCTGAGATGGGTGTGGGTGTGAGAAGCTGCAGCGGCGCCCCACCCGCAGGCGGGAGCGGTCCAGGGCGGCCGCCGCGCTGTCAAATTGCCCTAACGTGAGGCCACAGTGACTGGAACTCCCACCAAGGCGCCTCGGAGCTTTCTAGAAGAATTTCAGCTGCATCACCACACTTCCAAGTGGCGTTGGGGGGCCGGCTGGCACTCGGGAGCCCGGCCGAGCTCTGGGGGGCGGCCTCGCGCGCGGGGAGCGGGCGGCGCGTTGGGGGGCCAGGCTGGCACTCGGGAGCCCGGCCGAGCTCTGGGGGGCGGCCTCGCGCGCGGGGAGCGGGCGGCGCGTTGGGGGGCCAGGCTGGCACTCGGGAGCCGGGCCGAGCTCTGGGGGGCGGCCTCGCGCCGCGGGACCGTCGGGGCGCCCAGTCCGGCCCCCCTCACCGGTCGAAGCAGTGCGCAGCCGACAGCACCCAGTACTCGTTGATGATGGAGCCGCCGCAGACGTGTAAGCCGAAGTAGTGCACGCTGACCTGCCACGGCCACTTCTTCTCGGCGGCCGGGGCGCCGCCCATGACCCTCCCTTCCGCGGCACGCCGGCCACAGGCTGCGGGAGAGAGACGGGCGAGGGCTGGGCGGGGTGGGGGGAGGAGGGAGGGGAGGGTGGGGAGTGGGAGGGGCGGGCAGGCCGGGAGGCCCAGCTGGGAGCCCGAGGGC